AGCAACACGTACATTAGGCTGAAAAGCCACTTCTAATCGCAATCATGGACTCTTTTAGGGCCATCCAAAACCAGTCTCCATCACACGCTCTGGAAGAGAAGAAATCAAAGGTTTGTTTTAAAGCAAAGCTAACTAACAACAAATTGGAAGAAGATTTGGCAATGTTTAACTGACAAGAGACTAGGATCTGGAATGTACAGAAAGTTCATGGAAAACAAAATTAAAAATTTATTTTGGAGCAAAAATGTTTGATAGCCATGCTAATGGGGAATCTTCAAAAAGTTTATGGAAATGCACATTTTGAAAAAAAAAACTATGCAGAGAATTTAAAAATTCTTTGTACCAAAATAGACATCTTTTTTTTTTTTTTTTGACCGGCAGAGTTAAAGAGAGAGAGAGAGAGAGAGGTCTTCCTTCCGTTGATTCACCCCCTAAATGGCCACTAAGGCCAGAGCTATGCCCATCCGAAGCCAGGAGCCAGGTGCTTCCTCCTGGTCTCCCATGCAGGTGCAGGGCCCTAGCACTTGGGCCATCCTCCACTGCACTCCCGGGCCACAGCAGAAAGCTGGCCTGGAAGAGGAGCAACCGAGACTAGAACCCGGCGCCCATATGGGATGCTGGTGCTGCAGGTGGAGGATTAGCCTAGTGAGCCATGGCACTGGCCCCTTAACTTATCTTTTAATTCTATCTTCCCGGAAGCTTTTGAAATATCCTCACATACAACCTACAAGACTGGGGCAGCCATTTTAAGAAAAGTTTGGCAGTAATCAGCCAAAATAAGCACAGGGATGCTCTGACCCAGCAATCCTGACCCGACTCACAGGACACGCACACCACTAATTCTTAGGGATTCTCCCATAGGTTAACAAGAGCACATGTACTAGGTTGTTCACAGCAGTGTTCTCAGTAAGGGGGAGCTGGAGACAGTTTGGGTATTCATTCATTGCTGTGGGAAAGATGAAGAAAACAGAATTGTACACACTGGAATACTACACAGCAATGAAAAGATGCCAACTCAGTATCCATGGCAACACAGATCATGATACTATGCCAACAGAAAAAGTCAGGAGGAAAATGAATTTTTTATATGCCATGTATATAAATTTAAGACATGTTTACAAACAGGAATATATGTCTTCTAAAAATGCAAATCAAATATGGTAAGAAACACAAACATGCTAAAATAGTACCTAAAGAAAGGACAGACATAGGAGTAGGGGAGTGAAAATAAATGGAAATCATGCAATCAATCAAGATTGATGAGACTGAGAAATTGCAGTACGCCATGCTGGTCCCTTCTGTATCACAGGTGCAAAAACTAGCAAAACAGGGCCGGCAAAGCAGAGGACCTTAGGGTCGTTCAGACGGGAGCACAACGGGCTCTTCCTGAACCGCTGGCAGTGCCCCGCACCGTGTCCACCTTCAAGCAATGTCTACCCTTTGAACAACAGCAATTTGATCGATCACTATCTAGACATATGTAAAAGAAGCAATAATCTAACAGAAGAGGCGGAGAAACAGGGAGCCCTTCTCCAGGAATAATTACCAACGCCCTCTCACATGCCGGGCACCATGGCCAGCCCTGGGAACGATGAGTGATGAGGACCGTCCTGCCCTCTGGAGCTACACTGAGCCTGGAGAACCCATGATCCAAGTCAGCAATACGTTGTGTGGACAGCCGTGCCACAGAGAAGAACGGGGGCCCTGGTACACCAAAGGAGGCTCCTCACCTGATTGGGAAAGTTCAGGAAAAGCATCCCAGGAGAAACTGATGCCTGTACTGAGTCCCAGGGGGTAAGCAGAGCTGCCAAAGCCCAGAGGAGAAAGAAAAGTGGGGCACCAGGAGCAGCAGAGCGCGCACAGGCAGTGGGGCCTGGGGTCCGAGCTTCACTACGTCACTCTGGGACCTGACTTCCTGGCCTGAGGACAAAACACAGTAGTTCCTTTGACAGGTAGAGCCACACGCTATCAGTAGTGATCTCAAGCCTCTTTATCGAAGACTTGATTCCTGGGTAAGCAAGAAAAAGAAAGAATAAATGCATGGAAAAGCTTCCATTGTTTTCTCACAGCAGGCCAATATGTACCTCCAAGTGGATACTGCCTGAAGTGGCCGTGCCAGAGGGAAGGACTTGCCTGAGTTCTGTGAAGTCACTTTGATGCAAGAACAAGATACAACTTAGAACAGAAAGGCTGTGAGTCTGTTAAGCTGGTTCACATCGCCACAGTTTTCCTGTTGCTACAGGATTATAATGCTTTGTGTATCAGCACAGATGCTACACTTGACAATCTCTCTCTGGAAAATCTCCCTGCATGTGTGTAGGGCTTTGGGTTTGAACTGACTTGATGACCTGAGACCAAGAGCCATTTAAAATGTCAGTGTTACAAGGAGCACACAAGATCATATATTTCAAAGGTTTCAAGCGAGCCTGCACCAGCATTTCCTGCAGCCCTCATCAAAACAACACTCAGCAGTTAAGATCCCAGTTGGGTCACCTGCATCCCATACAAGCATGCCTGAATATGAGTCTCTGGCTCCACTCCTGACTCCAACTTCCTGCTAATGCACACCGTGGAAGGCAGCAGGTGATGGTTCACATGGCTGTATCCCTGCTGACACATGGAACACTTAGATTCAGTTCCTGACTTCTGGCTTAGGTCTGACCCAGTGCCAGCTATTGTGGACGTTTAAGGAGAGAACCAGTAGATGGGAGATCCGTCTCTCTGTTTCTCTTTCAAGTAAAATAAGTACTTTTTTAAACACAGAAGGCTGGATTCCTCCCAGTATGTGTGATTCAGTAGGTCTCCATTGGGATTTATTTGCATTTTTTATTTATTTTTAAAAATATGTATTTATTTACTTGAAAGTCAGAGAGGCATAGGCAGAGAGAGAGAGAGAGAGTCTTCCATCTGCTGGTTCACTCCCCAGATAACCGTAACAGCCAGAGCGGCACCAATCTGAAGCCAGAAGCCAGGAGCTTCTTCCAGGTCTCCCATGTGGCTACAGGAGCCCAAGGACTTGGGCCATCTTCTCCTGCTTTCCCAGACCATAGCAGAGAGCTGGACCGGAAGTGGAGCAGCTGGGACTTGAATTGGCGCCCATATGGGATGCCAGCACAGCAGGCGGCAGCTTTACCTGCAGACCCCTATTTACATTTTTTAAAGACTTATTTATTTGAAAGGCAGAGTTACAGAGAGGCAGTAGAGAGAGAGAGAGAGCACAAGGTGGTGGTGTGGGGGCGGGGGTGTCTTCTATCTATTGGTTCACTCCCCAGATGGTCACAACAGTCAGAGCTGGGCCAATCCAAAGCCAGGAGCTGGGAGCTTCTTCCTGATTTCCCACATTGGTGCAGGGCTCAAGGACTTGGACCATCTTCTGCTGCTTTCCCAGATGCATTAGCAAGGAGCTGCCTCCGAAGTGGAGCAGCTGGGACTCAAACTGGCACCCATATGGGATGCCAGCACTGCAGGGGGCAGCTGTGCCCTCAACACCACAGCACTGACCCCTGTTTGCATTTCTAATAAGCTCCTGGATCATGCTGATGCTGGTGGTCCAAGGCTCACACTTTGAGAACCACTGAGCTACTCCAATGTTACTGATGAAGATACTGGAACCTAGAGAATGCAGTGACTTATGTAAAATCACACACATTCTTAGTGACCAGAAACCCAGGTCTTAGGAGAATATAGTGGATGGGGAACAAAAAAACTACAAAGATTTTTCAATCAAAGCCCTTCCAGGTGCAGATGAGCTGTCCTATGTGGTTCTTACAACCACCTTCCCCTTTCACCCCAGCCTGAGAAGTACCATCAAGGAGTAAGTGGGGTTGCAACAGCAGCAAAGGAGGCAGGATCCAAGCATCCACCGAGTCCTAGACACCACTGCAAGCCAGATGCTGGTGCTACTTAGTGCTGTACCTCCCAGCACTCTGCACACGACTCAGAGCCAATGTCAGAACTGTGGGAAATAGAAAGGACTCCCCAAGAGCTTCCTGACCCGTGCTTCTTGGAAAACGCAAGCATGTGTAGCTGCAGATGGACCTGAGAACCTGCCCCACCTGTCCCCCAGTCACTGCAGCCAGACGAATCCTCTGAGACACAAAGGCGTTGTGGTCAGCCTCCCTCTCCCATTGTCACGCTGCCACTGTGCAGGTTGTGTTCGCGGAGAATGATGGGCAACAGCAGTTGTAAGACTTCCAATGCTTGAGACAAATAGGGGAAGGGAGGAGAACTCAACAAAAGCAGCAGCAGGCCTGTCTACCGAAGGCCCAGCTTAATGGGCTTCAAGATAAAGAGCAGGAAGTGAGTGCTTTCACTGGCATTTGTCAACTCTCCGGTGAAGAGCCCAGAATAGACAAAGATTCTGGCTTCCCCCCTTGTCTCTCTGGCCACCCCTTCCCTCTTTTTATGAGGGATTTGATGGGGGAAGACAAGTAAGTCATCACATGGGGCCGTTGCCATCAGCAATGTCAGTTACTGAGTCGAGGGTGCATTGTTTAGGCATTAGGGGTTCGGAGGTCAAGTCTCTCTGACTCTCTATCATATCCAGAGCCCAGAATCCTGCAGACATCTCCAGCTATCACGCTGGTGACTGATATTTGTCGTGCAGAGCAATCGAATCATTGTCAGGTGATTTTTTTTTTATCAATTGTATCATGATGCGTTATTAAGAAACTGGAAACATCCGGCTTTGAAGGATGTTTGATTCCGAATGGCAGCAAAATGTAACTGCTCTGTTCTGTTGAGCAATTCTGCTTGATGAGATGTCACAATTACACCAGCGTTTTTCATCACTAGTCACAAGATTATGCTGATAGTTCATTTAGATAAGTTAGTGCTGTTAAATGTTGCTTCAAAAGCCCTTTCAAAACTACATGGCTATGAGGGTGCTTCAAAAAGTTCATGGAAAATGTGTATTATGTAGTAGCTATGCCTGGATTTCAAAAATTTTTTGCACCAACAAATTAAAAGAGAAAGAGGCCGCCTTCTAATTCCATCTTTTAGGTTTGGTTCATTCATAATCTACATTTTCCATGAACTTTTTGAAGTATGTGGTTTTTTTGCCCTCTAGAGTTGTTTGGTCATGGTGTGATCTAAGAGCAGGGTTTATTTCATTCCAGTGTATCCTAGTCGAACACATCTTACAGAAGATGCAGTCACAGTGAGAAGGCGTTTGCTGATTTCATGGCTGTACAAACATCGCAGGGTGCTCTTACACAAACTTCAGTGGTGCAGGCCAGTCACTCTGTGTGTGAGAGACCCAGGAAACAGGAGAGGCATGAGGTGCACCTGGCAGACTGTTTTACAGTCAACTTTGGTTTTATGAGCAAAAGGAGTACACTCTAAAGCAAAGACAAAAAGTATAGTAAATAAACCAGGAACAGAGCGGTTTATCATTATCTAGTACTAAATACTCTACCTAGCTGTACTGCTTTGCTCTTAGGACTGGCAGTGTTTTCACCAGCATCACACAAACATGGCAGTGATGCTTCTTACTATGATGTCACAATGGTTGTGATGTCACTAGGTGACAGGAACTTGCCAGGTCCCTTGTAGCCTTCTGGGACCAGTATCATATATTTGCTCTATTGTTGACTGAAACACTGCTGTGCATACATGACTATATTTTATAAAACACTCAGATTACTATCTAAATCAACTGTCTACTTACTTTTAAGAGCTATTAATGAATGATATAGCGACCTGACCAGCAGCCTGAACTGCAGGTCCCTGGACCCCCTCAGAGCACCACCAAATAGGCTGAAGGAATCAGCTAAGACTCCATCTGCTAACCCTGCAAAGATCTTTGCCGGAAAAATGGGAGACACGAGGGCTTCCAGGGCTGGATCCAGAAGAGTAAGTTTCCGTGTTTTACTTTGGCTCATAGCAGCCTAGCTGGGAATGCTGAGCTGTACGTGTTCTCGGAACAGCAGCACACTCCACGCTGAGCACTGTCTCATGGTGTGCCATAGAGACAAACGCTCCCTCCAAAATTACGTCCATGCTTTTGGCTTACACCCTTCTGCCTGCTCTCTCTGCCCCTAACACCATGCACCCTAAGGTCATCACCTAGCCCCCCAAGACTTATATAAAAATACTACCCATGAAACTCTTTTATTTTTAACTGTGAGAATGGCTGGTTTACTCCCAGAGAATGTTCAGAGATTCTCAGAGCTGTGCAAAGAGGCATAATTATCAATAATTGCCAAAGCAGCTTAACCCTTATGTAAAATATTATGCATACAAATGGATTTATTTTGAACCAGTTCACACTATTAAACCTGACTCTGGCTCAGGCTTTATCCCCAGGCAGTGCTCAATAACATCACAGTAGCAAACACCTTGGCTATATCTCTTCCTATTTGGTTGGCTCGTTTTATATCTCTGCATGTTTAAATAGGCAATGGGAGTGCTAATTAAAATGCAATCATGCAGACAAATTATACCATATTCCTAAAAAGGTAAAATGGAAGCCCTTTTGATTTCAAAATCTTTGTGACATCCAAAGCAAAAGCAAAGAGTGATCCTGCACACAGAGGGAACCATTCACTATTATTGCAAGTTTAAAACCAAAATCCCTTTCCAGGTTTGTCTGTTACATATGGAATATAAAACACATACATTGTGAGCAATTTCTCAAGAGAGTCAACACTCAGGGTTTCTCGCACAAATGTTCAAGTTTCAGGTCATTCTGCATAATTTTTATTGTCTTGTTCTACCTGTAAAGTGGGAAACAGTGAACATCACAAACCTACTTCAATCTAGGAGTGATGGCAACCCCAAACCAACAGGCAAGGCTCGCCCAATAGATTCCACACTGTGCTGATCGCATCCCAGCTCGCAGATGAACTTGACTGCCAGCAACCTAAGATAAAACAAGTATTCTAACACCCAGTCCACCTCATCGCTCTAGACCCTGGCTTCTCACCCTGTACCATGAGCTTCATTAGAACGTAATTCATTGCTTTTGAGATGATAGACCCGTTTGAGAATTTGATCAAAACCATTTATGTTGTTCCTGATTAGTAGTAACTGGGTGCATCCCCATGAAAGGGCACATACAAATCTGCTGGTCCTCTGATACACAGCCCTGGGGCTCAGACTAAGAACCCCAGGTCCCTGCCAGCACGGAGAGTCCATGTGTCTTCATCCAGGACCTGGTGCTGAGCTCTGATCTACATCTGTCACACTGCATGCACTCACACTAAAACCAATCATGGCCATAAAATCATAGAAAATTCATCTTTCCTTCAGCATGAAGGTATGCTGCTACATATCCTATTACAACTCAAGAAATAGCTGGAAACCATTTAAGTAACACAACTAGTTCTGAGTCAACTATCCAGTTTTGGGAGTGTTTTTTTTTTCCCCCTACTATATTAGATAAATCTTCTCAAGATGCTTGAATAAAACATTCTTTTTAAAAAAAAAAAATGAATCAGCCAGGTACCCATAGCCTCTGATTTGAACAAACAGCAAAGTCCCCATCTCCTTCCGAGTCCGTGAATTCATGTAGAATCCCCACTCTCACTAATAATCTATTCATTCTATTTCACCTACAAGACCTAGAGCCCTCAGGAGGGCAGAGCCCATTGCATGTGGTAGTCTCAACAGCCAGCAACATCAGATCACAGTGTCAGGAGCTTCAGATTGTTACAACAGGGTCTCCTAATTCAAGTCTGTGATGGTGCTTTTAAATCACAACAACGATTAACTTATGTCACTTATTGAAAGAATGTCCACTGCCCCCAAGGCCTCTGGGCATGGGGACAAAATCGTGCTAATAAGAGGAATCCACAAAACATCAAACTTAGTGAAATAAGCTAGTCCCAAAGGGACAGATACCATATGTTTTTCCTGATCTGTGAGAACAAATAGAGCACCTTAAACAAAATAAGTAGAAGAGAAATTGACACTCGAGAAGGGATGACTTGAGCTGCCCTTTTCTTGACTGTCATGGAACAGTTTCATTTTTTTCAATTTTTTTTCATACTATTTGTTGAACTCTTAACATAGAGTTAATCATATGTGTATAAAGTCAATTGAGGATGGATCTCAGCAAACAATAAGAGTGAGAATAGGAGAGGGAGGAGGAAGTTTGCAACTGTAAAACTGTATAGTACTGCATACATTCCTACAGACTTTGGGGTCCCATGACAAGTTTTTAAGTTGCACCCTTAGAAGTCTAAGGGTGCAACTTAAAAACTTGTCATGGGACCCCAAATCCCATTAAGCTGGGTGGTAAAAATGCCATCTAAAAGTTAAAGGGATCATATTAAGTGCTAAAGTGAACATATAGATAGGATTAAGTGTTAAACTGATCATATAAATAGGATCAGTGTCTGATAATAATAATAGATAGAATTAAAAAGGAGAGAATGTTCCAACATGGGAAGCAGTCCACACAGCAGATCCATAGAATGGTGATCACTTTAAGTAACATTCTGACCTCAGAATCAGCCCTTATGGCTTCTTGGTCTGGCTAAAAAAAACCATGAGAGCATTTCAGGCATGGAAAGCCGAAAATGTTCTACAAGAAGGATCTCTGTAAGGGAAACCCCAACAGAAAGAAGTGGCCATCAAAGAAGGATGTACTTTTCTCTAAGGGGAGGAGAAAACTTCCACTTTGCTTATGGCCTTGTCTAAATATTAACAGAGTTTTTGGATTCAAAAGGCTTCCATAGCCTAGGCAGCTCATGTCAAGAGCCTCAGGTGGTCACGGAATGTTATACTTAAGAGCATCATTAAATTAACAACAGGAGTCACTATACACTAACTCCCCATATAGGACCTCTGTCCTCATTGAGTTGTATTATGAGAGTTAACTGTTAAACTAGTTCTCAAACAGCTTCTGTGTGTGTGTGTGCAAATTGTTGAAATCTTCAGTTAGTATAAAGTTGGTCTTCTGTGTACAAAGTTAATTAAACATGAATCCTAATGGAGAATGGGACTGGAAAAGGGAGAGGGATTAGAAGGAGGGGTGGGAGTGTGGGTGGGAGGGCAGGTATGGTGGGAAGAATAACTATATTCCTCAAGTTGTACTTATGAAATTTACATTCCTTAAAATAAATAATTAAAAAAAAGAGGAGTCCACAGCAGCTCTCAGTGATCAGCTAGCTGCTCATTATCACACTTTCACCAATGAGACTAAGCACCACAACAAGGATGCACCCTAGGAAACATATGATTCTTGTTCACACTTACATAAAGTAGTGACAGTGCTGTTAGTAATTAGTTTCCAGATCCTCAATTGCTTTGTTCTTTGGCATTAGTAATATGCCACTTGAAGTTTTACACCAAATTAACATTACCCACTTTCAACTGTTTCAAAGCCATTTGAAAATGTGCTATCCTTTAGGCAAAGAGACAAAGCACCTGACAGTGAGACGGGCTCATATTTGAATTGTTCTCTTCTTGCCTCAAATTAAAAATGTGCAGAGACATCCTTGTCCACCTTACCCACCTTGGTACAGAATCCTACTGTTGTGATATTACTAACTGGGGCTACGGGGCTGGTCCATCATTATGAAAGATGATTTCACTACTCAAAGCTAGCACACCTGTTTGGGAAATGAGTTTATTAATGTGCAACTCTGTCACACTCTCAGGCTAATAGATTAAGGTGAGGGACAGCAAATCTGAAAATAACTTCTGCAACGAAGGAGTCTATCTGGTTTTATGTTCAGCTTGTAGATAGAAACCTAATGCCAGAACTGGGGGATAATATTAAAAGGCCTCTGGAATAAAAGGGAATTAATGTGGATGATGCAAGATCTCCCAAGCAGGCTCCAAATTTTGTTCCCAAAAAGTGTATATCTATACTACTAAGTGAAAAAAAATAGGGGCTGGTGCTATGGCACGACAGGTTAAGCCATCGCCAGCAATGCCAGCATCCCGTGTGGGTGCTGGTTGTAGCCCCAAGCTGTTTCACTTCAATCCAGCTCTCTGTCCTGGAAAGCAGCAGAAGATGGCCAAAGGGCTTGGGACTCTGCACCCACCTGGGAGACCTGGATAAAGCTCCTGGTTACAGCCTGGCCTAACTCTGGTTGTTGCAGCCATATAGGGGGTGAATCAGCAAATGAAAAATCTCTCCCCCTACTCTGTAACTTTGCATCTCAGATTAATACATAGATATCTTAAAATAATAACAATTGGATCTAATTTCATTTGTGTTAACTACCTACACATTGCCTTATAAATGACTCACAATGTATATAATAACTAGAGATTATTTTGTTCATGTCTCACTGACACTATAAATCAAATGTTTTTCATTGACATTGAAACTAGAAAATGGGATCTAAATTTTCTCAGTAGCTAACACAGCTTTATAGGATCTGGAGTTTTGTGGTTTCATTTTCACATCCGCCTGAAATTCCCACAATTTTGACTACCCCTTTCCAACTGAAATGAGGTGTGTCAGTGAGTTGTCTGGCTGAGAGCACACATCAAATCCAGAAGCACCACATTTTTCCAGAGTATTAAATGTTTAATACACCATAAATGCAGATTCTAGAATTAGTCTGTTTTTCCCTATATTCTAATTTAATCAAATATTGTTGTTGAATGTATTCTCTTGTATGTATGTAAAATTCTCCTGGTTCATCAGTAGAAAAATATGCTCCTGCAGGTTTCTCCTGGTGGAGAGAAACTTCATGGCATTAGCCACCATTTTTGGCCAATTCTTCTTGCAACCATATGGAAGCTGACTGGTCAGGCTAAAGGGGCCCCTCTGTTCAAGTGGAAGAGGTTAAGTTGGGGGAGGGGTTATATATTAAGTAACATGAAATAAATTTAAATTCATGATTTTTGATTCTTATTACCATGATATAATAAGCTGAACTAATCATCTCAGATATTATGAGAATGGAATCAAACATTTATTGAGGGGAAATATTACCTTAAATATTTATTTAAAGAATATATTCAAGATTCTAATAAGTCGCCCCTGGATTGGCAAACAGAAAAGAATTACAGGACTGGCAACAAATGGTTTGCTCCTGTAACTAATTATTTCACTTAGAACAAAATACCCAACTTTTTTCCCCTCCACAATGTAAATTCTTCACTCCTTTTGGATAAAAGGCTGAGATGATCTCTTGTCTTGAGACAGAATGACTGCATATGTTCAATAATACATCAGTTTCATCAGCCGCCATAGAATAGGCACATATAACGATAAATCATTTTGGGAACTTCCTGAATTCCAGCCAAGTTGTAGACAATAAAAGATCCTCCTTGTAAAGTCAGCTATAAAAGTTAATTTCATACAGGTTCCCCAGCACACATGCTACGGTTCAGTTCCAAACAGATGTGATCTTGGAACAGAAATGGAAAATGGCATGAAGTGTTTTCACTAACTTTCCATATCAAGAGACCCACATACTTGGTGTTTTGTGTAACCTTTGGTCATTAACACATTGCAGCAGGTTTGAAAAATGAATTCTTCAAGCTTTTCTAACGCCTAAGATCCAGTTGTTGCCAGCCTGAAGTATTCCTCCACGTTGGAAAGATTATCCATCAAGCCAGACATGAGAAAATGCTCACAGAGCGCAGTAACAGGCGGGCGGGCATTTGGGGCTGCGTTCGGAAAGAATCTCCTGTATCAAGAACTTGTATTGATTTCCTTCTTCGCTTTTGCTTGCAGCTGTCCTCACAGAAAGCCAGAGACACAGCCAGCCACTCTGCTCACGGAGTGGACAGGAAGAGGAGGTTTGCAGGAAAGGAAAAGGTTGGGTTTCGGCAACATGAGCCCAATTACATAAACTGATTCAAAGTGTATCTTTGTCAAAGACCACACTTCATCCTTGGCCACGCAGGATCCTAGAAACTCCACCAACTCCTGCCAGGGAGGGCTCCTGTCTACCCTTATTCATTCCTAAGACTCCCTCTTGATTTTAGGCTAACACCAGGCTTCTCCTGATTTTAAACCATAGTTGGGCTCCTAAGCAGTCACGTGCTCCTTTGAATTTTTGTAATTTACGCCATTTTCCACGCACTAGCAGAGCTTCCTATTAAAAGGTCTCTGGAATCAATTTGCAACAATAAGGATCAGTCCTTTGGTTTATCTTTCATTGGAATGGAGATTTTCAAAGTCTAATAAAGAGAAGCAATCTGCAGAAAAGCCCTGCTGAGCTTGAGAGCACAACTGGCTCAGAGACGCTGGAGGACAATGAAGGGCCCCCCGGCTGAACAAGGATGTCATTAGCATATTAGTCATACACCTGAAATTAATTAAGGCCAACCTAGGGATTAAGGTGCTTCGGGCCAAAGGAAAAAAAAAGGGGGAGGGATGGAATGATGATGTTACCTGATGGATATTTATATCATCACGTCTTATACCAGCAGAATGCTTTAAAATTAGAAATGACACTTGCCACCCATTATTAAATGTCAGGCCAACCTTATAAATTGATGAGATTCTTACTTCGAGGACACACAGGCTCTGCGATACTGAGCGACTGTCTTAGTTTATTCCTGCTACTATAACAAAATACCTTAGACTTAGTAATAGAATTTTTTTCTTCCCTGAGAAGTCCAAGATCAAGGTGCAGGCAGACGGGGTGTCTGGGAAGAACTCACTTCCCACTTCCAAGACAGCGCCTTCCTACAGCGTCCTCTGTGCCAGAAGAAGCAGAAGGGCAAACAAAGAGTGAACTTCTCCCTCAGGTCCTTTTATGAAGGCTGTCATCTCATCCATATCTTCTCTTTTTTTAAGATTTATTTTAATTATTTGAAAGAGTTACAGAGAGAGGGCCTCCATTCCATTGGTTCAGTCCTCAAATGACTGCAACAGCCAGAGCTGTGTCAACCCAAAGCCAGGAGCCAGGAGCTTCTTCTGGGTCTCCCAGGAGAGTGCAGGGGCCCAAGGACTTGGGCCATCTTCTACTGCTTTCCCAGGCCACAGCAGAGAGCTGGATCGGAAGAGGAGTAGCCGGGACTAGAACCTACGCCCATATGTGATGCCGGCACTGAAGCCTGGGACTTTAATCTGCTGCATGACAGCCATCAGCCCCCATTCATACTTTTTTTTTTTTTTTTTTTTTTGACAGGCAGAGTGGACAGTGAGAGAGAGAGACAGAGGGAAAGGTCTTCCTTTGCCGTTGGTTCACCCTCCAATGACCGCCACGGCCGGCGCCCTGTAGCCGGCGCACCGCACTGATCCGATGGCAGGAGCCAGGTGCTTCTCCTGGTTTCCCATGGGGTGCAGGGCCCAAGCACTTGGGCCATCCTCCACTGCACTCCCTGGCTACAGCAGAGAGCTGGCCTGGAAGAGGGGCAACCGGGACAGAATCCAGCGCCCCGACCGGGACTAGAACCCGGTGTGCCAGCGCCGCTAGGCGGAGGATTAGCCTAGTGAGCCGCGGCGCCGGCCCATTCATACCTTCTAATCATTTAGTGAGCCTACTCCTCCAAACCTCCCCTCAAGGGTCAAGTTCAAACACAGAAATTCTGGATCCAATCCCTAGCAGTGACAATCTCAAAAAGGACTGAGAAGGCAAGGACGTGGTACCAGGGGCACGGCCTTGAAAGGGCAGTAGACCTGGGGTTATAACACAACTCCAAGCACCATTCACAATGTACCAGGACTGTGCTCCGTGGGGATGTTTGCACAAGAGTGATGGGAAATGGGGTTCTTCTATATCAGGTCGCCACTGACCAGCTATGGTTGTTCTAGTCCCTTTAAGTCTTGGTCTTGTCTTTCCTCATCTTTAAAAGTGAGAAGAGTAGACTAGAAAATGAATCCTAAGGTCTCTTCAAGATTTGACCATCTGTGTGAGCCCTCTGGAGAGAGATGTTAGAGGTGAACAATATTTGTTGGCAAAAGGGCAATAGGAAATATGCTTTGGGAGCCTTGGCCATATTTTATCACAAGTACGTGGCATTTTTAACAAACAGGCACTTAAGTGTCAAGCCATAAGTGGAGTGAACCCAGAGGCGGTAGATATTTGTACTTGTACCAGAGACCCCAGTGCAGGTGAGTGAAGAGCAGAGAGGCCAGAGAAGGTCAGGTTCACGACTTCTGTATAAATTTCTGTTGGCATCTCAGATTACTGGTTGGTTTTCTCAGAACCAAGTATATGTGGTTTTACTTCACTAAGAAGACCAGACCAAATACCTGGGTGCTAACTTAATCCACACCTGAGGAGCTAGGCCTATTACAACGTCTCTCTGGATTTCCTACAGCCTCCACCATTGACCAGCAGGACTAGTGCCATAGCAGCTTGCTATCCCATCCTGTGCCAGTGGCCTTTCCTCTCTCTTCCAATTCGCAATTTGGAACACTGCAGGTGCCTGTTGGCAGTTTATCCATTGTTACTGAAGATCGCAAATGCTCTAACTGTAGTCAGTGGCTGGTTTACTCCCCAAGTGGCCGAAACAGCTGGGGTTAGGCCAGGCCAAAGCCAGAAACCTGGAACTCCACTGGGTTCTCCCAAGTAGGTAGCAGGGGCCCAAGAACTTGGGCCATCCTCTGCTGCCTTCCCAGGTGCATTAGCAGGGATCTGGATCCAAAGTGGAGCAGCTGGGACTCAAACTGGCACCCATATGTGATGCCTGCATTGCAGGTGGTGGCTTAACCTGTTACACCACAATACCAGCCCCCTGTGGCTCTTATATGCCTCCAGGCAGGGGGATCCACATTCTGGGTACAGCTCTGCACTACCAGCATCCATGGGGTTACAGGTGGCTTACAAAATGTACTCAGCTGCTCTGTTCCCCACTGAGCCCACTGAGCACCAAGAGCTTAGAGCTGTCAGATCAGGGCCTTAGCCTAGAATGCCCCTAGAGACTTGGCTCAGCGAGAACAAAGACAAAAATGTTTGGCCATCAGTTAGCGGTTGATTGCCTATCTCTGATTAGAATTGTAATCTGTATCAGTTGGTCTCTCAAAGTTTTAAGACGAGAAATCAGGGTTACATGAATGAATGTTGGCTTGAAGGGAGGCAGGCGAGGAGGGGGAAAGGAAGAGACGGGGCGGGGGCAGGGAATAAGGTAGGGAGGAATAGAGGAGGAAGGAAGGGAGAGAAGGAGAGGAGGAACGGAATAAGCAAAGGGACACAGGAAGAGACAGGGCTTATGCTTCTGGGGAAACAGGTCGGGGATGAACAGCTTAACGTTAGAGCACTTTTTTTTTTTTTAATTTTTCTTCACTAGGAACTGGTAAATAGCATCAACATATTCTTTCTACTCTCTGCCACAATTTTTTTTTTAACTTTTATTTAATGAATATAAATTTCCAAAGTACAGCTTATGGATCACAATGTCTACCCCCATAACTTCCCTCCCACCTGCAACCCTCCCCTTTCCCTCTCCCTCTCCCCTTCCATTCATATCAAGATTCATTTGTTAGAGCACTTTTTACACGAGTTTTCTCACACAGTGCTGTTCTCTGGGGCATCCAGTACAGGGCAAGGATCTCCGACATTATAAATGGGAATGGCATCCTCACGGAGAAATCCACCCCGTCTCCCACTGCGTCTTCCTCCCTTCAGGTTTGCCCAGAAAAAAAAAAGTCCACCCTGGGCTGCAGTCTTGTGGGAAGCCTTCCAGCTCCCCTGGGAGTGCACCCGTGCTGCCCTGGCTCCCAGCTGCACCCGGGAGCCCATGCTTGGCCTTGCGTGTCCTCCACCAGCCAATGGATGGGCCAGCCTGGAAACCCAAGCCATATGTTTTCCATCTCCCATCCCCAGCCTTCATCAACGGGGTCCTGTTACCCTGTTACAACAGTCGCCCTCAGCCTCCTCACATGGCCTCCAAAGGCTTGGGGTGTCGTGTTCTCGGCCTCTCACCACCTGTTCCCTGGCTCAGCTCCAGGTCACCACTGGAGAGGGTTCCCTGCAGAGAGAGGGAGCTTCTCCTATGCAGTTAGCTGTCTGAACTTTGTTCCCAGCTCCTCTGGCTGGCGTAGCTGCCCTGGGATTTTGTTCCCTTTAGTTACTTGTGAAGGAGTTAAGAGTATTAATGGGTAATCACACAGAACATTTAAGAAGGCTCATTCCACCTGCTGACAAGGACAATGCTAATCCCCTTTGAAAGGAAGGAAGAGGGAGGGAAGAAGGCAGAGAGGGAAGTTTTACTAAGCAACTGCTACAAACTAGACCCTGCACCAGGTGCTTTGCCTCTTTTATTCTTGGGAGCAATCCTGCAGTGGAGAGGGTCTTATTTTCTGTATTTTGCAGGAAAGAGAGCTGAGGTTCAGTAAAGCATCGTGAGTGCATGGCTGCTCGGTGGTAGAGCCCACTGTCCAATCCAGGAGAACTCTGATTCCCAGGAGAGCTCTTCCGAACTCCCCTCCCCCGCCCCTTCCCCCTCCTCACTCTCATCACTACACTCAGGCTCCACCCTTCCCAAATCTGTAAGAATCTGCTAGCGTGTGAACTTTTTCAGACCCTTTTGGGTTTAGAGAGAAGTGAGTATCTTTCATGTAAAAACTAAAATACAAATTCCAGACCCCCACATTTAAAACCAGATTTCACCATGGAATCACAGAAATTATAAGTGAGTCATCATATCAAAATAGGCAAAACTACTGCACCCAAGATTGATTTTGCAACTGAATCAGATGAATGGGGAGGCTCTTAGGGAACAATTACCTTAGGGACTACATCAGAGGCTACGGACCCCACTAACATCCATTTCTACCACTTTTAATAACAGAGCTCCTGAGCAGTACCTGGGCATAAGCCCTACAGATCGCAGCCTCCCTTGCAGCTTGGTAGAACCACGTGACCAAGCTGTAGCCAATGGGGTGTGTGATATCACTTCTAGGTCATGGCCCTGGGGAAGGATCCAAGGCCACACTCCTGGCGCTTTTCCTCTGTCCTGCTCTCTACAGCTGTAGCCTTTGCCCTGTATCCAGCTCCAGTCCACTAACCCCTGGACTGTTACATAATCAAAAAGGAATTCCAGGGCCAGCATTGTGCCCTAATTAGTGGGTTAAGCCACTGATTGTGATGCTGGTACCCCAAATAGGTGCTGGTTCTTGTCCTGGCTGCTGTACTTCAATCCAGCTCCCTGCTAACGGCCTGAGAAA